TAACAAATATTAGAGGTTGAAACTTTGAAATATTCATTGGGTTTCATTTTGATGTTTGAAATGAGACATCAACACTTAATATACATTCAATTGACATAACAAAATACATAAATCTGTAGCCATTTCTTTAGAGTTAGAAAACATACATGCACAATTAAAGATTTTAATGTATCTGATCTGTTTTTACTTTTGAAATGCTTCATTGTGTGAAAAGAGGAGGACATGCTACATAATTAACAGCTTCACAGCTATTTAAAGTATTTGAAAAGAAGTGCATTTTTTGAGACTAGCACATAAATAATTGAATTTATGAAAAAAAGTTAACTTTTAGAAAAATATAACCATCACAAAAACATAGTTTTATAAACATTTATAGAAAATAAATAAGATTTTCCTCTATGAATTTGTTTTGTTTGTAGCCCCAAATATTGTGGTAATTTGTTAGGCTACAATTGAATAGTGATACAATAAGTCATATTGATACCAATGTTGATTAGTTGGTACTTGCTGTGTATTTGGACGCTACTCATGATATCTGCTTGTAGATGCCTAGCGTGTGTTATTGCCTTCATTCATGACTTAAAAATTATTTTCCATTTAAATATAATGTTTTCAAATATCTTTTGAAGAGTGATGTTACCAAATCCTGGCAAAAAAAAAATATGAGTAGCAGTGAAATGTATTATTTTATCAAGTCTCTAAAAGGACAGTACATACTCTTTTAATTCTTATTCCCCTTATATCTCTTAATGATAGTGAGCCCATTCTGACCAAGACTGCTGACTAACTGAAGGACTGATATAGGAGGCACTTATACCATTACACATCTATAAGTTGTTGGACAGAGAAAATTAAGAACAAAACAACTAACTCAAAATCACATGTTTTTAAAATCTACAGAATGTGCATGTATTAAGTGACAGAATATTGATAATAAATCACCTGAAAGGCATTACCATGTCCATTATGTATTCACACACAGACATACACATTAATAACATGCATTTTAGAATTTTTTTTGTTAAAAAGGTTGAAACCATGAGTTGTTCAATTAACTTTTACCAATATACCAGCTAATTCAATTAATAGAACATTTTTTGGCTAATTTTGACTTTGTAACAGTCTATGTATTTTTATTCCATGTGCTGAAAGGCATTCATTAGACTAGTCTTGCAACCAATCAACTCATGTCCATTTAGAGTTAATTACCAGGGAGCTAGTAGGTATAGGATGATATAATCCATACAAAGTCTATATTCCAGTATGAGAGACATATAAGGAGATGACTTTAATACAATGCTGGAAGAGATATTAAGAAGGAGGATAGAAGGGCACTTGTCTCAGTCTAAAAGGCCGAGTTACCATTCCAGAGGAGCCGATGTCTTCCAACTGAAGAAAGTGAGTGAAGAGGGAAAGGTACACCAGTGAGGCAAATTAAATCAGCAAATAGAAACCCTATTAGAATATTTGAGAAAGTATATGTAGTTTACGCTTATTAGATTGTATGGCAAAATAGAAGTTGGCAGATGTAAAGATGGAAAGACAGACTCTACGTTATTAATAAATGATACAGAAGAGATGGAATTTTATTCTGCAAGCTATGGGAATAATTGAAAACACATAAAATGGGTATAAAGGGAAACTTCTAATTAGCCTTATTTACTAAACTCTTATCTTGTTTAAACTTAATATTAGCATGTCTAATAGCAGCATACGGTCTCAATTTGATATTATTTGGCAGTTTTGACCACCCATAGGTCCTGTGTTAAAGATGAAAATCAACATATGGGAAGAGAAGAAATTATAAAAGATGTTGTTTTGCTACTTTGAAATGTATATTCATGATCATAAATATGAAGTTAATAGTGAAATGTGAAAGGCACATACTTACTGAATTATGTGTCAGATAGATCTTGTAAATCTATGCTAAGATTTATACTATCTACTACAGAATAGGGTAAGAATGGATTAAATTGGAGAAGTAACAAAGTCTGTCCAAGTTCAATCAACCCAAACTAGTAGATTTTGGGGGTAAGTGCACAATTTAGAAAGTGTTGGATTTTAATTCTGCCCTGTATACCATACCACCTATGGAGACGATGGGAATATTATACAAGTGCTTCTAGCTTTTCTCAAAATAAGAAAAACAGAAAAATCAAGTATTCAATACTTAAACTGTTAATACCTGGCAAAAAGAAATCAATACAGTTTTCCATCCAACTATCAAAAAATATATAAAGCCTATTATCTTTTTAATAACTTTAATATGCTTCACTAGAAAGTCACTTTAGATTCGCATTTGATATTAATAAACACAATTCTCCTTTTAGATTGTATCTAAATATTAGAAACAGTTTATAAGAAACTTCTATCAGAAGTTTTAATCTCCTGTTAAATAATATCTTGCAAAGATATGTGCTAACTTCAATTATTTTCAGCTCAAAATGTTCATGCAGTGTGTGAAGCATCTATAAGAGCAGTTTCTCTCCACAGCCGTAAATGCTCAAGTAGGCATACATTGTGATTTGACCTGGATCACACAAAGTGCAAGAATGACAAATCCAGGATGAAGACCAGAGCGGCTTCAGACTTAATCCACTACTCTGTATAGCGAAACGTGCAACTTTTGAAGAACTTGGCTAATTCTGTGGGAGCTTATGTTATGCTGGCTTATGTAATTGATCTGGCATGAAAGACAAAAATACGAATGGCTTAGCACTCTACAGATCTGTGGGCATTGAATTCTCCTGGATAATTGCATGAGCAAAGGGAAAAAGACATAACTTCCCCATTACTCTCTTTTCATCTTGTTAAACCTTTTTTTTAAAAAAAAAAATAAAAGAATACCAGACTTTCAGCAAATTGAACTAAAGATAATACTAACAGATAGCATGTTTCAAGTTTACTTTTTTAAGTGAGCATGTAAATTCAGATAAACAGATTATTGAATCACTGCATTTAAAAAAAATACATTAAATTTAAATTACATTAATTAAATATATTTGCCTCAGGAAAAATATACAGAACACACACACACACATACACATACATACACATATGGATAGATAGACTTGGAAGTTATCACATTATGCCTTTCCCTGATCTTTGCATATAATTCTAGTTGACATCTAAAAGAAATGTATTTGCTCATAAATTATACTAAAAACATAATATTTAGAAATAAAATTTTGATAGCTGATTTGTTCATATAATATTTGTAAAATGGAATCATACTTAAGGCATCAATGATACTAATAGACACATGTAGAAATCTAAAATTTTTGATATTAATTAGAACATTGATTTATTAAAAGTCATGAAATTATACCTAAAATTTGCATAGCTCAAGATAGTTTATAGATTTTTAGCAAGCAAATGTAAATATTGAGATTCAATAGATTTAGATATGTCAAAATGAGTCATTAATATATGTAATCATATCAAATATACAGCAGAGTCTGAGTCATTATCACAGGAACCATATGTAGGCAAATGAAGAAACCAAAGGAAAAGAGTGAGAATTTCATTAGTCTGAATATAATTTTTACAGTGGAGAGTACCTGATGATTTACTAATCCATTTGCTTTTGTTTCCAAAGCTATTAGTCATAATAGTTAATCATCATGACTTTTTTTTTGAGGTGAGTCTCACTCTTTGTTGCCCAAGCTGGAGTGCAGTGCTGCAACCTCTGCTCATTGCAAACTCCACCCCCCAGGTTCAAAAGATTCTCCAGCCTCAGCCTCTTGAATAGCTGGGATTACAGGCACCTGCCACCACACCCCACTAATTTTTGTATTTGTAGTAGAGACAAGGTTTTGCTGTATTGGCCATGCTGGTCTTGAGCTCCTGACCTCAAGTGACCAGCCCACCTTAGCCCTTAGCCTCCTAAAGTTCTGGGATTACAGGCATGAGCCACCACACCCAGACTCCATTGTTAACTAAACATAGTGCTTATGAGTGTGAGCCTGCAATAGTTCTTTTTTTTTAATACTTATATTTAATGTGTCATTTATACTGGTGATTTTGACAAAACAGATTAAAATAATCAGAGATTTTTATTTAGCACTGAACTATCCAATTGTTTGACAAAGATAAATACACAGAACTAGTTATTTTAAAATCACAGTTCCATAAGTATTTTTTAAAATTTATTTCTTTGAAATGTATGTAGTACAGCAAACCACACTAATTTAAAATTTATTTAGTTACTGTAAAAGAATCCTGACACATTGCTAGGTACTCAGACAAATATACACTTAATGAAATCTCTGTAAACTACATTGAATTATTTAATATTATTTAAAAATCTAAAGCAGTGCGGTATACCTGCACATATTTTAAGTACAATCTTTTTAGATTAATAATTATTTTGTTGAGATGGGCTCCATTCTATCGTTAGAAAAAAATCATACAAGAGGATTTGAACTCGTTACACCAAAGCTCAAACATCTAAGAAAACAAAAATAAACAAAAAAGTCCTAAAAGAGGAGCACACCACACTCTTTCTCTTTGTCAAAAGCACAAGACCTTTCAGCCATTAAAGATGCCAAGAATTTTCTCACTTCTGGGCCTTTTTATGTTCTGTTATGACTGGTTAACCACAACCCAGTTATCCTGATCTTAAACTACCTCTTCCAAAATTAGGACAAACCTTAATGTCATATATGTTCATTGCATCTATGCTTAAAATTCACAGCACACTTATTCTTTGTAATTGTGTTGTTTGCTCAGATTATTTAGCATTTTTCTACTCATTAACTCTGTAGCCCATGAAAGTGGTAATCTTGTTTATTCATTACTTGTTGAATGCTAAATAGATCATAGGTCTAAATAGATCATAGGTCTGGTGCATAACAGGTTATTAAATAAATATTTGATACCAAAATAATTTTTTAAATGTGATAGGTTTTTCTTATATAATCAAAGTAAATATATTTTTATCACAATGGAAATAAATGACAAAATTTATATTCAAACCTGCTGTTTTACTAAAAACTCACAATTGTCTCTATGCCCCTGTACATGTATTATATGTTGTAGGTTTTAACTGGGTAAAACTCATGCTGTGAGAAGATGAAGTTATGAGGATGGTGGAAGATAAAATCAGAGATGATTTAAAATTCTGTAAAGAAAGAAGTCAAGGTTAGTGCAGATATTTTAACTCAGAAGCATTGTATCCTTTAACAGAAAGAGAAAGACACAGGATTAGAAACAGACTTATAAATGCTTAATAAAATGAGTTTTAACTTAAGTTTTTTGGAGAAGCTTGTGCTAGGTTTGTAGGGCATCTAATTTTAAACTTCTGATATCCAACTGCATTTGTACAACTATAATTCAAGGGATGAGGAAGAAAGTGACGCCAATTATTTCTATAGGAACCAAGTCAAAAGTACAAATAATAACAGCATATTCCTGCTGTGTGAGAGTGATTTTCCCAAAATTGCATAACCAGAAAACTATAGATGGGCTGTTGTTTCTTGGCAAAATCCATGGGATGCTAAATGGCTGGGCATCTTCAGAATAACAGAAAGTAACTCTAGTCTATCAAAATTACATAAAATCGAAACCCTAATGGAGTTTGGCACAACTTCTTATGATTTGTCACCTGAACCTAGACCATAAAATACATAAAGTCAAAATTTTAAAACTGAAATTGAACAGTTTAGATATGGATCAATAAATACTACTGAATAGGTGTGTTTTGCAAATATCAAAATTATAAAAAAGGATCAATTGAATAAAATAAAAGCAGTGAGTATGAAAGCTTTAATAAAACTCCAGTTTGATTTGGCATGTCATAAATGTCAAAAAGGGTATCAGCCAAAGACACTTTATTACTAAGGCCTTAGCTCAAATAAAATCTGCTAACTACTGGCCTTTAAACAAGAGTAGACAGAAAAAAATAGTAAATACAACCACAGCTATACTAGAGTCATAGAGTATGACAAAATAACACAAAAGTTTTTTTTTTTTAACCTACTGTTTTGCAAGTGGAAATGTGGTGACAAAAAGAGATCTTTGTTATTTCTCTGTGCTCAAAAGAAAAACACTGTCTGCAATGTTTTATAACTTGTTGTGAATATAGTTCAATAGACGTGGTGTATAAAGAATGTATAATCTGATATGGTGTAAATGGCCACTCTTGTTTTTACAAATTAAGAACTCGATATCATTTTGCTGTGTCCCCACCCAAATTTTAACTTGAATTGTGTCTCCCAGAATTCCCACTTGTTTGGGAAGGAGCTAAGGGGGAGGTAATTGAATCATGAGGGGTGGTCTTTCCCCTGCTATTCTCGTGATAGCAAATAAGCCACATGAGATCTGATGGGTTTCTTACCAGTTTCTGCTTTTGCTGCTTTCTCATTTTCTTTTGCTACTGTCATGTAAGTAGTACCTTTCACCTCCTGCCATTATTCTGAGGCCTCCCCAGCCATGTGGAACTGTAAGTCCAATTAAACCTCATTTTCTTCCCAGTCTCAGGTATGTCTTTATCAGTAGCATGAAAATGCAGTAGGGTGGGGAATTGTTGAAAAGTTACCCAAAAATGTGGAAATGACTTTGGAACTGGGTAACAGGCAGAGGTTGGAACAGTTTGGAGGGCTCAGAAGAATAAAGGGAAATGTGGGAAAGTTTGGAACCTCCAAAAGACTTGTTGAATGGCTTTGACAAAAAAATGCTGATAGTGATATGAACAATAACGTCCAGGCTAAAGTGGTCTCAGATGGGGATGAGGAACTTGGGAACTGGAGCAAATGTGACTCTTGTTATGTTTTAGAAAAGAGACTGGTGCTGTTTGTTCCCAGCCTTAGAGAGCTGTAGGACTTTGAACTTGAGAGAGATGATTTAGGTTATCTGACAGAAGAAATTTTTAAGCACCAAAGCATTCAAAATGTGACTTGGGTGTTATTAAAAGCATTCCATTTTAAATGCAAAGTAGAGCATTAAAGTTTGGAAAATCTGCAGCCTGACAATGTGGTAGAAAATAAAAATCCATTTTTCTCAGGAGAAATTAAAGAGGCTGCAGAAATTTGCATAAGTAGCAAAGAGGCTAATGTTAGTCCCTGAGATCATGAGGAAAATGTCTCCAGGCCATATCAGAGAACTTCATGGCAGCCCCTCACATTACAGGCCTGGAGGCCTAGGAGGAAAAAGTGGTTTTGTGGGCCAGGCCCACGTTCCTGTGCTGTGTGCAGCTTAGGGACTCGGTGCCTGTGTCCCAGCCGCTCCAGCCATGGCTGAAAGTGGACAATGTATAGCCTGGGCTGTGGCTTCAGAGGGTAGATGCCTCAAGCCTTTGCAGCTTCCATGTGATGTTGAGCCTGTGCATGCACAGCATCAAGAATTGAGGTTTGGGAGCCTCTGCCTAAATTTCAGAAATTGTATAGAAATGCCTGGATGTCAAGGCAAAAGTTAGCTGCAGGGGTGGATCCCTCATGGATTAGGATGTCCTGCTAGGATGGTACAGAAGGAAAATATGGGGTCGGAACCCATGCACAGAGTCCCTCATGGGGCACTGCCTAATGGAGGTGTGTGAAGACCCCACCATTCCCCAGACCATAATGGTAAATCCACTGACAGATTGCACGATGCACCTGAAAAAGTCGCAGACATTCAACATGAGTAAATAAAAGCAGCCAGGAAGGAGACTGTACCCTACAGAGCCACAGGGGTGGAGCTGCCCAAGACCGTGGTCACCTACTTCTTACATCAGCTTGACCTGAATGTGATGCATGAAGTCAAAAGGGATCATTCTGGAGCTTTAAGATTTAACTGCTCCATGGGACTTTGGACATGCATGGGACCTATAGCCTCTTTTGGCCAATTTATCCCAATTGAAATAGCTGTATTTACCTAATTTCTGTTCCCCCACTGTATCCAGGAAGTAACTAACCTGCTTTTGATTTTACAGGCGCAGAGGTGAAAAGAATTTGCCTTGTCTTGGATGCGACTTTGGACTGCAGACTCTTGAGTTAATGCTGAAAGGAGATGAAACTTTGGGGGACTGTTGGGAAGACATGATTGGTTTTGAAATGTGAAGACATGAGATTTGGAGGAGCCAGGAGTGAAATTATATGGTTTGGCTGTGTCCCCACCAAAATATCAACTTTAATTTTATCTCCCAGAATTCCCACATGTTGTGGGAGGGACCCAGATGGGAGGTAACTGAATTACCGGACCGATCTTTCCCATGCTATTCTCATGACAGTGATTCAGTCTCATGAGATCCGATGGGTTTATCAGGGGTTTCTGCTTTTGCTTCTTCCTCATTTTCTCTTGCTGCTGCCATATAAGAAATGTCTTTTGCCTCCTGCCATGATTCTGAGGCTTCCCAACCCATGTGGTAACATAAGTCCAATTAAACCTCTTTTTCTTCCCCGTCTCAGATATGTCTTTATCAGCAGTGGAAAATGGACTAATACAGAGCTTGTTTCTGCTTGTTAATTCTCTGAGAGTTGATACCATAGCGTACACTTTTATCCAGGTTTGGCAATGCTAAGATGGAGAAACGAGTCTTGACGAATATCCTTATAAGGATGACACAGTTTTTATCTCTACTTCCTATCTGAATTCCTGTGGGTAAAATGTAATGAAAATGGAAGATAGGTGCATACCAAAACCAAAATGATCCACTTTGCAATTCTGTCAATACTTTAAAAGTCTATACTAAATGTGCAAATGCTTTTTAAGAGGACAAATAAATGAAGACATAGTGAAAGATAGTGCTTTTCAGCCTATGTTTGTTTCTATCTGTTTCTTAGCCATTCTGAAATAATGTATTGGTTACACATTAGCCTATCACTGAGCCCAGCTAAATTACAGAAATGTCTTCATCCTCATATTTTTTTTTAATTTTCTCCAGTAGGTATCATGTCAGCTGCAGCTGATTCACCTCTACCTAGTAATTATTAAGCATAACAATATTATTATAGTCAAGAATAATTCGATCACATTTTATCATAATTAAAATCATTAAAAATGCCAACAAATTTCTGCATATATTAGTGACTTCTCAAATATGCAATATTTATGCAAAAGAAACTTATGCACAAAAGCAAAATATATCTCTACTTACCTAAAATTACATTTTACAAAACTGTTCTCATTCATCTTGGAAATTATTCACCAATGTTAATGTATCCTCCCTTCCCAAGTATCAACAGTGGATCATCTTCTTTTTTATATTATGCTCTATAATTTATTTCACTGATAGTATCTGTACTACATATAAAAATGACTATAGCTATCTTGTCTGAAATTTGACCACAGAAATTTAAGTGATTATTGCTTAGCTTGAAAAGTACAATATAAGATCCAACATTTGCTTTTCAGAAGTATGCAGCTAAAATGTGAAACCTTAAAATAACACAAGGAAGCAAACATTGCTTTTTAACAAATATATATGCATTACATCCTGTAATCGTAATAATACTCCAATATTTTGAGGAGCAACATCATACCTAGTTGAAAACATTGATCTTAGATTCCTTTGAAACTTGTAATGATTCTGAGATCCAGTTCTAAAAAATCAAATATGTAATTGAAACTAGACTTGAGCAACATTTCTAAAATCATGCTCTACTGCTCATTTTCTTTTACCTTTTTACAACATAAAAATACATCTTAATATATGTATTTATATACATATATGTATATATAAATATACATATAATGTATGTATTATACAAATATTATACATATACAAGGTATTTTATACAAATACAAGGTATTTTATAGTTTACATATACAAGGTATTTTATAGTTTACATATAAATATATATATATATAGTTTACATATACATATACAAGTATACGTATACAAGGTATTTTAATATATAGCACCAATGAAGCAGTTGTACTAACTCTGAATTAGCAAACAACAAGGGATTTTTTTCATGAGGAAAGCAAAATCATTATTTACTTTAACATCATGTAGTGGTTGCATAAAATGAAATTCAGTCTAAACTGAAAGATCTAAACTATTTTGTTTCAAACAAAACAATCCTTTGAAGTAGGGATTATAACCGTTCCTTCAATTTAAGTTTCCCTAACTTATAGGAAAGTTCAGTATCTTTTCAACATTAGCTATCCACATTTGCACTGCCATATATTCCTTATTTCTGT